CCTGATCATGCGAGTGGCCCTCCTCTGGACCCTCTCCATGCTGTCCACATCCCTCTTGAAGTGTGGCGCCCAGAACTGGATGCAGTACTCCAACTGCGGCCTGACCAGTGCCGCATAGAGGGGGAGGATCACCTCTTTGGACCTGCTCAAGATGTATTTGTGGATGCATTGTGCATTTGGCCTTCGTAACTGCCTCCCCACACTGCCAGCCCATGTTCATCTTGGAGTCAATGATGACTCCAAGATCCTTTTCCGCCTCCATGCTGACAAGAGATTCTATTTACTCAAACATCATAACCCATGGTTATGCCAATTACCAGAAGGATTGGATATCTTATTTCTGTATCAAGATTAAAGACATCCTATGTGTTAATGCAACAGACAGTTTGGTCTAAGAACTACTCTCTCTACATCTTGACAACAAACTCCAAAACTGCCATGTCAAAAATAATCTGTGCTATATTAACGTATTTGTTACCGACCACTGAAATAAACAAAGTAAAACATTTGATAAAGCATTCCAGTGCCAAATTCAAGCCCAGATCTTTTATCACCACTATTATGACAAAACTATGCAATCTAGGAACTTGCACATTTTACTAGCTCTTAGCCAAGCATTGATAACAGTAGAGGATCATGACCCCCATTTCTACTCCTCCAGAGTCTGCAGGACATTTCCAATGTCAAATGACTGTGCATTTTATCATCTCCTCCCCTGGAAACTACAGAGATCACCATATTCTATTAGTTTATTAATTATTAAAATTAATTACTCCTTTTTTATACAAACTATGGACTTTTCTGCTATTCTCTCAACCAGGAAAAATGTTTAGCCCTGTATATGCTGCACAAACAGTTAATCTTTCCATTGGTTAACCAGTGGATTCCCTTGATCAATAAAGAGCTGCTGGTAAATTCAAACGTATGTTTCCTTTACTTATATAACTACAATCCCCAGAACTGTTTGCAGACACACAGCTTCTCATTTGCATTCAGACCAACAAAAACTATGACAAATAAAAGTTGTACAGGCACACATATTGAATGAATCTTACCCAGCATGCAAAAACTCCAGTAGGGCTAGCATTAAGAAAGTATTACTAAAGCGACACATCCAAAGACAGTGTTCAAGTTGCACTTTAGGCAAAATTTACATGACGAAGGAAAGCGTGTGGTCCTCAAGACAGATGCCTGACTTTGGCACCTGATGGACCATTGGTGGAACTGCTGCCATTTTGGCTGAGGTGACTGCTTAGGTCTCTATACCCTGCTGAAAACTATTTAGGATTTGCAACCTAGACATTGTTACAGCTAAATCCCATGAGGGCCCCAATCTGGTCAGAACACTCTGACCAGGCCTGTGGCGCACTCCAGCTGGGGAATGAGACATTATCCTGGCAGTCAATCACCGACTACTTTGCTGGCATGAAACTGATCCCACCCCAAACACAGACGTAAAACGAGCAGGGGAGAGAGTGGTGAACTATCTGCATGACAGTTCTTCCTTGTGAGCTTGCAGACTGCCCTGATCTCAGCACTGCTTTGACTCTAGTCCCTGTTTTTGTTCTTAAGCTCCTGGTATCCATCTCCAGTGCCTGACTGTCATTTTGCTCCTAACTACAACTCTGCTTCCCTTTCTCTGGATCAACCTGTGACGCCTGACTCTGGCTTCTTGACCTTGGATTGTTCCTAAGCACATCTTTGGCATCCAGATCTGGCTATGACCTTGTTCTAACACCCGAATCTGGACACAAGTTCCAGACCCCAGCCAAACCACTAGGCCTAACTGCCCATGACCTGATCATGGCACTGCCAAACATGCTTATAGCACTGAGCTCAGCACCCACAATCATGTTCACTGAAAAACACAAGTGGAGATTTTGCATAATAGCCTAGTGGTTGTTAGAGCACTTGACCAGGAAGTAGGCAGCTTTTGTTGATTTCCCTCCTCAGCTAGAGGGGTTTCAAGCACGCATCGCCCACTCACACTTCACAACTCCCAGGAGAGTGTCTTAATCACCAGTCTGTGGCCCTAGTTCAGCTGAGGGCACCTTGCCCCCTATTCCTCCAGCTGAAGCTGGCACAGCGCACAGACAGGAATACCATAGCTTGGACCACTTCCACAAGCAAGAGGGAACCTGACTCTACTGACCAGCGAGGAGACCACTCCCTTCAGAGGGGGAACTCCTAAAACTGCCTATGCGTGCTGCTGTAGTAGACTTGGAATATAATATACAATCAGTTTTGGAAACAGACACTTGAACCGCTGAAAACAGTGAATCAGTCATTTCTACATGAAGGAACAACACAGGTGTCTTAGTCTCAGCATGGGTTTTAGGTTGTGAATCCCAGTCTCACAGAGTCTAATTCAGCCTGGCTAAGGGCTGTAGGGAAATACCAAATCTGGGAGAGAGATAGAATTTTGGTCACAGTGTCGATTGGCTGGCTTAGGCCTTTCACCCTCAGATCTAGACACCTAAAAGGCAATCAGAAGATAGCTCATAATCACCCAGCCCAAGTCCCATTTCAGATCCAGCTCTAAGTAACTACCAAAGGGTTCATACTCCTTGTCAGCTGATCTCTTTTCTCTTTTTACCTTCTAGCAAACATCTCATAAATAAATCTGTCTACATTTCTGGTAATGAGCTTTTTCACAGCAGAAACAGGAAGAAAAGGACCTTGGGAGATATCTAGTCTATTCCCAGGGACACAAGCAACTTAATTGCACTTAGTTGCCTTCCTGGTGGTCCCCTAGTTTATTTTCAATTATCTCAACATCCTTGCACAAAAATGCTGATAATGTCATAGGATGGATTTCATCTGCCAAGCTCAGGGTCTTTAGGTACAAAGCAGCTTCCTGAAAGAGTTTATTCACACAAGGATTATTGCTCCTCAATTGCTTAATGGGAATCCAAAAATGACATTAAGTTTAAAAACTAACACCGTGCCAAGGGAACCCCAATTAATTTATGTAAACCTAACTTACAGAGATATGTCCTTGAATAGGAAGTCTACTGATAGTAAAAAATTTGTGTATGTACCACCAGCAGGATCACATCAATTTGCCATGCTGCAGTATGTTGCAATACATCTGGCTTACTATTTATATTATTTATAATAGATTTCTATAGTTGAGACAGAAATGTCTATTACTTTCTATTTCACTTACTTCTCAGATAAGCATATAGCTGAGTGATAGTCCTGAACCCTTGATCATTAAAGAGTAATCTATCAAAGGAACAACAGTTCTCCTCCAGAAACACATCCAAACATATCTTGAGCTATGGTAAATTATTAGTCTTGAATCATAGAAAGCAATGAACATTATCAGGATGAAAATGTTCAATTAGTTCAATTAGATGTTCAATTAGTTCACCTTCACTCTCAACCCAAAACAAACTGATAAAAGTTTTCCACAGGATAGAGTTGAGCTGTTTGCCTCTTAAAACAGCCCTAGTCTTCATGGCATCCACTTTTCTTGTGTTAATTACATGAAGGTACACAATTCATTAAAAGTTCCACCTGACAAAATAACTTGGAATACGTATTGCAGCAATATCCAATAAGAGGTCAAATCAAAACAGAACAACCAAATAAATAATCCTTAAACACTGTGCTGAATGTCACCAAATCAAACTCTGGTTGATTACCCAAGGGGAGGGAGTTCCAAACCATCCACCCAAAAGTTTCCTTTTACCAATCTGGAAAACTTTAACAAGAAGCATCCCAAGCCAAATATAACTGATTTTATTGTTTAGAATCCAAATATTTAAAAATAATTCTAAGAGATTACAGCCAAGGAAGAAATTAAATGGACTGACCTTCACATAGGCGAGGTAGTGCTCACACGTCTCCTGCATATATGACAGTTGTAACTTCTCCATGACCTGCCCCATCATTTCTCCAGAAGACACAAAGTAAACCCTGGGCTGTTGGCCTCTCTGCTTCTTTGCCACATCTGCTGTCAAGTGGTAATTCAAGCCTGATCCAAAAAAAAAAAAGTGGCAAAGAAATTCCAGGTATGTCAGTAAACAGTAGTTTATTTTCTAGCAATCCTGCATTTTATCTTGTTGTATCTTCAACCACGTGCATTTATAGAAAGATCAGCACCATGCAGGACAAGGTCCTTAATAGAGGCTGCAGGAGTGCATGAAAAAATTATGCTCAAAAGTAATAGAAACAGATCTAGAGATGTTTTAGTTATTCTGTTAAAAATATGTATAGCCTTACTTTTTCTCATTTTCCTTGATGCCTTCATTTACAATGCAAAAATTAAAATCAAATGCCATCCAGAATTCCTAGCAATTTCTTTGTTGCTTTGCAACCTTATTGCATTAAGACTTTAACTGCAGGAAGATGATTGCAATTAAGGTTTCTACTCCTAAATATTATTTTCTTGAAATCTGTAGAATTAATGCCTGGTAGACCGATAAGCTACCACAACAGATCCTATATCCTTCTTTCCTATCAGGTTAAGTTTAATCAGGACTGTCAATTTTGTGATTAAATATTACTGTGCCCAAAAAGAAAGGTTCTTATCAGTCTACTCAACTCTGTTTGCTGATTGAATAATCCAGATTGGTTGTGTACTATGCTAGCAAACATAATGATAATTTCTGAAGCCTACGTCCAACACAGAATTGGCAAGTCAGAAGTGGTTAAGTCTGAAGTCAGAGAAATACTCATACTGGTGAATTACAGGATAGAAACAGAAGTCACTGTTATTGCAGCTCAGGTTGTGCCACGACCTGTCCTTCAATAAAAGAATCATGCATCTGTAGCAAACATGTCTCTTTTTTAAAGCAATTCACAAAGTGGCTGGGTATACTGCCACCTAGGGCTGTGAGAAACTTCAGTTGCTGATTCAATTTGGAGAAGATTCAGCCCGATTCGGCTGCTGAATCTCCAAATCTGAATTGAATCAAAAGACCCATTAATCTCTCTGGATCAAATCAGAGAAATTTGGAGAGATTCAACAATTCAGCCATAGACACAGCTTTATATGTTTTTTCTACATACCTTGAAGTACCAGCCATGGCTCATAAATGCTGAGATTGTTGTGTGGATGGAGTGTCCCATGGGAGCACAGGGGAGGTCCCCCGCACACTGCAGCAGACCCAGAAGTGGACCAAAAGTACTTCCGGGCCCACTGTGGAGTGCCGCGGTGACTGGTGCCTCCTAGGTCTGGGGGGACACCTGGGGTGCCCCCATGGCTGATCACCAAGCCAGAGAGTGGGGGGTCCCCCACATGCTCGACGGAGGCCCCCCCTGCGCTTCCATGGGACACTCCATCCACCCCACCATCTCAGCATTCATGAGCTGCGCCTGGTACCTCGAGGTATGGAGAAAAAACATATAAAGCTGTGTCCATGGCCTAATTGCTGATTCTCCAAATCAGAATCAAATCTTCAGATTTGGCTGAAACGAATTGGGACAGTGATCTGAATCAGCAAATCAAATCACCGTCCCCCGAATCAGGCTGAATACGAATCCGAATAGAATACTGTCTGCTTCGCACACCCCTACTGCCACCCTTCTATCAGCAGAAGGCCTGAAAGAACAGACATAGCACAGCCAGAGGTGGTCAATTGGCCAATGGTCCATCTCCGATTCTCTCCCTTGTGCCAACTGGTTATTCAAGGTGGCAGGTGGCAAAATTTAAGTGGGTGGGTAGCAAAATTGTAATTGGTTGCAGGTGGTGACACTGTTGAGAGAGTAATTGTGCCTCAATGTCCTTTATATTTGCCCTGCCACTCTCATTCCCCCCCATCCCATATTCAGCACATTGCAGCACATGGTACAGGGAGCAGGAGAGGGAGTTGATGAGAGGTTGTGGGTGGGAGGTAATTCCTCTGGCTGGGGGCTGCTCTGCTAGTTCTGGGAGGCAGCTGAGAGTGAGGACAGTGTTTGGAAGTCCTGGGCTGGGGAGGATGCAGGAGTGCTTTAGGGGTATTGTTCCCACTCAAGGCAGCTGGATCAGGTCTGTGGCTTACCCCTCTGGCCCCTTGCATTCCTGCCCTGGGGTGGGGAGCTGCACAGACCACTCCTGAGCTGATCTAGCCAGCTCTCCTTGTACTAGGCAGTCCCACTACCCCATCTGACCCCTACCAACACAATCCCAGCCCCATGAAGCTGGCGACCAGATACCCACATCCCTCAGAGAGAGCTGTGGCTTTCATTCAGAGCTGGGTGAGAGCCATGGGAAATCTCTAACTAACCACAAGTTACCCACAATCCCCACTGGGCTTTCCCCTCAGTCCCAATGACTTTCAAAGCCATAGGAAAAATTCAATTCATTGCACAAGCTGCCTCAGGGGGAATTCTGAGACAGGAGAGAGAGGAGTGCAGCTTGGTAGTAGGGGGAAAGCTTGGCTGGGTGGTGCCAGAAGTGGGGAGGAGATATGCATATAGAAGCAGGGTGAATAATGGGAAGGTTGATGAAGATCTGATGAATGCTCATCTCAAGCTCTTGGTGTGAGTCTAGTCAGACCAGGTCCACAGTGCACACTAGCTGCTTGAAGTATTGGTAGGTGCTTAGACTTCGGTGGGAGGGAACAAGGTGCGCTTCATACATTGCATGCCTGCCAGCAGCAACTGCGACCAGGATCTTCCACTGCAGTGTCTGTGGATCCATACATGTTCTTTGCCTTGCAGACCTTGATGACCCAGTTATGAGGGACAATGATCAGAGAAAGTATTGTACTCATTCTCTGATGGCTGCCCTAACAGCATTTACTGTCACTTATGAGGGTGGGGCAGTACCTGCAAAGGGAAACCATATGCGTTCCATGCTGCCAATGAAGAAGGGTATAATAGCTACATCCACACCCTGATTCATGACAGCAGCCACTGGCACAAAGACCTGTTGGCCACAGGTCACCACACTGTGGCCAGGCTGACACGCGAGCGACTACAAACCATGGAGCAGCCAGGAAGATAAGAAAGGACTAGTGGGAGCAGATAATCATGGGCACCTGAGATGGCAATTAGTGGTTAAAGAACTTCCACATGTCCAAGGACACCTTCATGGAGACCTGTCCTGAGTTTGCCCCCCATACACAGCAGCAGACAACAGTGATGTGGGTGCCCTTAACCACAGAGAAGCACATTGCTGTTTCAACACAGGCCAGTCCACAGCTGGAGTAGCAGTGTGGGAGGTATGCCTTGCAGTCCAAAAGGCAATGGACTCATGTCTCCTATGCATCACCAATCCACAGGAAGATGTAGATGGGTTTGCCAGCCTGGACTTCCCCAACTGCTTTACAGCATCGATGACTCGTACATTGCCATTCCTGGCTTGCTTCAGAACATCATCCTCATGAATTTATCAGTCAGAAGGGCTACATCTCCATTGTGCTTCATGAAACTGTGGACTACCATCGCTGCTTCACTCATGTAAATGCCAGCAGGTCAGGCCAAGTCCAGGATCTTCAGGAACTCCCTCCAATCAGGGCTGATGGAGCAAAAAGAGTTTGCCCCTCGCCTGCCTGACATTCAGGTCAAGAGAGTGACTGTGTCCCTGATACTAATCAGGGATCCTGCCTACCCACTGCACACCTCGTTTATGAAACCACTCACTGGAATCCTGGATGGCCAGAAGGAACTTTTCAGCTACAAGCTCAGCAGCTGTGAGATGGCTGTTTTCAGGTGGCTCCAGGCTCACGTAAGACACACGTAGATGCCAGCAAGCTCAAGGTATCTTGACTGGTGACCAGTGCATATGTGCTACACAACATCTGTGAGGCCACGGGACAGCCTCTGCCTGAGTTCCTGCCCCTGTCACTTGAGACAGAGTGCCTCCCACCTCTGATAAGTGCCATGCCCACAAATTCACAAATGATGGCAGCTCGCATGGCACAGTGCTTTTGAGACACACTTGCAGACTACTTTTACAGACTCTGTAGTAAGGGTGGAGAATCAGAGTATGATGTAAAGTTTCCAATTAAAATAAGCTTGTGCTCTGGCATTTTCTTTTTCAGCATGGGGAAGGGGTGGTGGATGGGTTAGGGTTGTACAAGAGGGTCATGTTAGAAGGCTATGCTGGGAAAATGACAAGAAGTAGATGAGAGCTTGGGCCTGAGAAGAAAATTCTCAGCTGGGCCCAGAGTGCTATTAGCTTTCAGTAGAGGGATGGCATAGGATGGGATGGGACAGGTCGTTAGAAGAGCAATTGACTTTAAGGGCAGTAATGGCTACCTGGCTGCAGTGCGACATAACTATTGAGCCAACAATGGCCCCTAAAAGGTAAGTCATTGGCTCCCAAAAGCAAAGTCATTGGATTTTGACTGTAACCACTGAAATATCAATGAACCTCACCCCCTTATCATTTCTAATGGAAAGCATGAGGTGGTCTGAACAAAGAGGTCACTGCCATCTTGCTATAGCAACATACTTTATTAACATGGGGCATGATGCAAAGCAAGCCTAGACCCTACTGCAAATACAGCTGTGTCAAATTCTGCTCTCTGATATAACTACAGTCCTTTTGACATCAAGGACTTCCTTGACAACATAATTTATCTTAAATCTGATAGGTTTTCAGTAATGAGTTTTAAGTGCAAAAAGGGGCTTCCCATACATGTGCTAGTTTGCATTCTAATTAGAATGCATAGAAGCAGACTCAACTAATCAAGTCTACTCCACATTCTAATTAGAGTGCTCCAGCATCACCTTACCATTATGTATATTAAGTCCTCCCACACTTTAAAATGGCTGTGGAGGTGCTTTAACTAAACCTCAAAAAAGCTTTAGTTAAAGCACCCCTGCAGCCATTTTAAAATGCAAGTGCCTTAATACATGTGAAAATGAGCCATTTTAATTAGAGCAGCTCTAATTAAAACAGTGCCCCTCCTATCTCTGAGCATGTTTATAAGTACCCAGGGTGTCTTTCCCTCCAAAGGTGACAACAAGCAATGGGATTGGGTTGGGAAGGTATTTGCTTTTATTCCCCAACCCTGTGAAATTCACCAGTCTCTGCAGTCT